TATATATATATATATTTGCAAAGAGAAAATAAGAAACATATACTGTAAAAATTAGCAATCATAAAACCAACCGAATAACGAAGGGATGCGACACATCACTCGCATCCATTGACTCTACACCACTGCGTCTGTGGATTTCTGGTGAAAAGATATTTACTGCTGTTCCTTTCCAGCTTGTAAATGCCTGTAGAAGTGCCCGGCTGACAAATGTCCTTATTTCTCCTATTAGCGTTCTTAAAACTTGAATGGATGAATATGTCATTGTTATGTGAATAATGACGAACGATACTCAATCGGCATGGCGTTTATTTAGCGAACTTTGGAAGAGACAGTATGAATAGGAGACGAGCACGTTCGTCACCGCGTGTCCGGCGTCCAACGTCTGTCTGTCGAGCGGCCTACAGTCAGGCCGTCGCGGTAGTTTCTGGCGCGCTCGCAAGGTGGCGCCCTTTGTCTATCATACAACAGTCATTATTTGTACCGAACTGACGTTTGTTTTCCTGAGGTTAGCCCGATTACTAGCTTCCGCTAGATGGTGTGTTTTCTGCTTATCTATTCCTTTAGTGATATTTCCAAATAACATTTTTCTTACATGTTTAGTTGTAGTGATATTGTGGTTAGTGTTCTCATGTTCTACAGGCCAAAGTACCTTACAATTTTTCTTCTTTCTTTCTGTGCCGTCAGGGACTATTCTCTTTCTCTCGTCCTCCCTCTCATCTTTTTCTTCTTTCGCCCCTTCTTCATTTTCTTTTGCATCTGCCTTTTCCTGATGAAGGGTTTTCCATTGTCTGGACGTTATCACATACGGCATTCGCTGAACATTGCGTTTGCTCTTCGTTTTCGGGGTTTATAGCCATATCAGACAATCTACTAATGTTGGAACATTCGAACGTCTCAGCGCACTGCTGTGAACGTTGGTTGAAGATGGCGTTCTCGGCTGTATCGGTTCACTGTCTGGCGCTATATTAAGAGGTGCCGATGACTGTCGCATATTTTCTGCTGGCACTTGATCCGGCTGTTGAGAATGTGTTACCATAGTGGGATGCATGTCCAGACCACGCATCTCTGAATCCACTTCTGCTTCTTCTGAAAGTTCTTCATACAATTTGTACAAAACGACGTATTCCTTGCTGTGTTCTTCTTCTTCCGCTACTATCTTAATATTATTAAACGTTGATATTCATTCCTCTCCAACAATATCGCAGAATTTTTCAAATGTCAATTATTTGTTCTTTGTGATGTGGTTACAATGTTTCCATTATTCACATTTGATTCATTGTACATCCGCCCTGGACATTTAGTGAAATCAATACTGTCAGGGCGCCAGGGAACATGGCCACAAGCCATAAAACCATTTTGCAGTTTCTGGCTTTATTGTGCGCACTAACTTTTCCAACACCGGAGCGAAGTCTTTTCTAGTGAGAGCCTCAGAAGATG